CAGTGCTCCCCGGGCGCTGTACAATAGCTGCCCACTGCTCCTAGTCAGGGACGTGCACAGGTACGGGCTTTTTGGCTGACCTGCCCCTCTGGAGAGAGCGAGAGTTTGTTTTTCTCTTTTCTGTTGAGGCCGAATCAATATGATAAGCCCACAATTAGTATTGTAGCGTATCGCTGCGGGAAACAGACTTTGTTAGCGCTGCCGTTGCGTTAAAGACCACCTCAGTGTCGGATTTTGGAAACTTGATTTTGAGTTGTCTCATGGCAGTTAGGGTATAAGGGACAAACCAGGGGACTTTACTTCCTCTTGATACCGTCGGTTATTTACAAAAAAACACCTAAATATAGCCTACTTATTATTGTGCTTCTGTCTTTCTGTGTCTTTTCATCTGTAAACTCCCTCAACGGGGNTCTTTTAAAAGATACAGCGCACATGCTGGAGTTCTGGCTTGGAATTAGGATTGTAAGACATACAGTAGGAGCAATGCATATGCTTAAGTCCAACTTTAATAGTAACATATTTATTCTCGTAAAGAGGCACTCCTTTTTTCCATGCTATTTTTCCTACAGTTCGACATTTTACTTCTATCACCAAAGTGGTAGGTTATAGACTGGCTGAAACATAACTAGCTGCTGGTAAGACTGATATTATTATATTGTTTGTATTCTGTGCAGGATGATGACCCCATGCCACCCTCAGGGAACCCCTCAATGTTACTCAGCCTGGTGAAGGACACAAAGGCGTCAGAGCCGACTGTCATCTTTGACCTGGTGTGGTGAGTATCCACCTGAACAGGGTTATTATTTTACTGAACTTGCAACTCCTGAGTCGTTGGTTCCAAACCTCCAAGTGAAGCTCCTTGGTAAAGAGAAGCAATTGGGGGGAAAGACAGCAGAATGTACTCAATAGGTGATGCATTAGCCAGAAGAAGTTATCGATTACTGTGATGAGTAGTGCTTCGTTTATTAAACTCCCAGCCATATATTGAGTTTTAGACATCCACTGGCATACTATTAAGTATTTAGCAGATGATTCTTACCAGATGTATGGCGATTAAGAAAGATAATGATGATTTAATCTCATAACCCACAGTTGGAATGGCAGGTACGAACTCCTCGGCTCCTCCAAAGCACTTGGCCCTTAACTCCTGAATGAGTAGGTTGGCATCTGGCATTTTTCAGCTGGATCTTCCTATTAGTTTTTGTGTTTTATTGTGTGTGCAAATGGAAGAATGATGCTTGTGGTGGTTAAGTCCTTTTTTAGTGGTTGTAGACTACAAAATCACAACATAAACTCATAACATTAGCTGCAACATCTATATTTGTAGCGATGTCTACTGTCATGGCTACAACTTCCTACAATGGTGTTCTTTTTCCACAACCTGCTCATTGGTTTTGATCACATTGAGCTTTAATGATTGAAGTTGCCCCATTTGACAAAGCTCTCTATAACCATATTGGATCATACATTTTCAATATATTCATAACCTAATAACGAACATCTCTTTGGTCTGTGTATGTCCAGGTTCTCTTTGAGTATTGGGTACTATGGCCTGTCCCTGAACACATCCCGGCTTCATGCTAACCCCTACATCAGCTGCTTCCTCTCAGCAGCTGCAGAGGTCCCAGCCTACACGTCCTGCTGGCTGGCACTGAAATACTTCCCACGCCGACTCTCTGTCATCTTTATCTTACTCATTGGTGGAGTGTCACTGTATCTCATTCAACTGGTGCCTGAAAGTAAGCAGTCACTACCTGGTTCAATCAATCAATCAGAATGCTTAATTTATTCCGGGGGGAAATTATGTTTTATTACAGGTGCACCATATTGGACTAAAGTCAATAACTATTTATACAAACATAGGAAGTAAGAGTAAAAATGTGCAATGAGAGTAGCCACTGGGACGCGGCGTCTTAAGCACAGGAACAAGGTAGAGCGTCCTCCACAGCACAGAGACCCTCTGATCCCCAGGGACGTGCACAGCAGGTAACGTTGCCCGGGCAACGGCCCGTTTGGCCTTTTTGGCTGACCTGCCCCTCTGGAGTGAGCGAAAGTTTGTTTTTCTTTTTCCTGTTGTGGCCGAATCAACATGATAAGCCCACAATTAGTATTGTAGAGTCTCGTTGCGGGAAACACACTTTGTCAGCGCTGTCATCTGCCGGTGCGTTAAGACCACCTCAGTGTCGGATTTTGGAAACTTGCTTTTGAATTGTCTCATGGCAGTTAGGGTATAGGGGACAAACCAGGGGACTTTACTTCCTCTTGATACCGTCGGTTATTTACAAAAAAACACCTAAATATAGCCTACTTGTTGTTATTGTGCTTCTGTGTTTCTGTGTCTTTTCATCTGTAAGCTCCCTCAACGGGGCCGCTCTTTTCTTGATCGCCCTCTGACGGGTGAACAGTTCAATGTCTGTTTATCATTGTAGGATTTCTGCCATGTCTCTACCACTTTAGTTTGACCATCTCTGTTATTAAGTTATGGAATACTAAATAAATAAATAAGTAATTAGATACGTTACCGTTACTGCGCTCATGATAAGAATAAGAATAATGCATATTGAACTGGTTTAATTAATTAGAGGTTATTTAAGGTAATTAGTTAGAGGCCCTATTTTATCAGTATGTCTGCACAACAGTTACAATTACTACATTAGAACAGAATTGTCCCCATTTTGTCTTTAATAGTTACTAACATTAGATAATTTTGATGAGATATGCAAAACAAAAAATTTCCCTGGTTTTCATTTTTTAAATCAAGTCACCGAATGCAAGTAGTCGCCTTAGCTTATTTTGTGAGATGTGAATTACTATTCTGCTCTTTTTTGCGGTCCAGCTCCAGATGGGTTTGGTTTTTGGTACATACCTGGTTCTCGCCACGACCAGAGAGGGAGGGCACTGTGTCGGAAGTTGCAGCCCCTGCGTCGGGGTCCATTGGTCGAACCGTTTCCGTTGACTCCTCTCCGAGTTCCGACGTTTTCCTTCTGATAGTTTCCCTTTTACACTCCTCTTAGAGCCGAGTTATTTGTTGATGTGTACGCAACCTGTCCGGAAAGTGGTCGATTGATTGATGATTCCCCGTTCTTTGTCCAGACATGATGATGCTCCACACTTGGCGTGGTGGAACGTCTCCTTGATTTGGTAAGAAACGGGCGAAACTCCGATCGCTGGGGGGGTGAAAGTAAAAGAATGGCAGGGACGATTGATGGTCGAGGTATGTGGAGGGTGAGAGTTTCTGTAAGTCCACTTCGTCTGCGCTGCTAGACACCTCCCACCCTTTTCGGCGTCCTGGCTACCTCATGAGTCCTTTGTCATGAGTTTTCGAACGGCGACTGGTCGAAAGTCCTGCCAATGGACTGGTCCTATAAGTTGGACTAGGGACGAGTGATCGAACGTAAGGTAGGACAGACTTTTGCCCGATGGTAGTAAGGACAGGGGTTTTTCTGGTGGTCAGTCCTCTCGTAGTTACCCTGATGTCCGGTAATCGGGATTTGTAGCCGTCCACTACTTTACAAAACTTCTGACTATCGGCTGATGTAGTTCGGTCGGGGTGGGAGGGAGCTGGGAGTAGGTCAAACCGGATATCTCGGTTGTCTAGGCTGCCTACTACGGTATAGCGGGTGTCAAAAAGATGGGGACCCGGACACGTCCCGACGAATTGGTGGTGTGTATACGGTTATTGGGCTTGAGGTAAGAGTGGTGTATGGGTGTAAATTACGTGAAATATATGATAAAAAATATATTATAAAATTTGATAAATAAGGGGGCATACTAACATACAACAGACAGGATAACGGAACAAAAAATCACAATACATACAAAAACATAAAAAGACGTGTAGGCCCTGTCTCAACGTGAGACTTAGAAACAATCCAATAATGGACGACACATAATATTACTCGTTATTTTCCGAACATTGAAATGAAAATATTGAAAAGTGAATTGTTGACTGTAACGCTCATGCAAAAACATAGTTTACAAAGGAACAACGTCACTGGGTTCGAATATAAGTTCAGGAGTGAGAAAGAGAATCGTTTAATAAGGTGAATGTTTCGGAAGAATTTTTCCTTGCGAGAGAGAGAGAGTGTAGGTATTATATACATATATATATAATCATTATAGTTTAAATTGTGGTTTCGGTTTACATGTGGTAACGAGCATTATAGTTGTTAACTACCAAAATTCAAGATTCACTACCCGTGCTCTTCATCTCAACCACTACCTTCACTGGGGATTCATGTGAAAGATTAAAACCCGTAGTAACGACCAAACTAGGTTCATTTTAGAGAGTATACTCCTTTTACATTCCTGTCGGCTCAGGTCTACATACAAGGGGGAGATAGTACATTACATTTTAGCTAGCTACGATTCGTCGCACATGGACGCTCAGTCTACCTGAAAACCTCACCGTCAAATGAAAATATATACTTTTTTACCGACATGTCTATATAGATTACTGTTGTAAAGGTAAGCTCGAGGGTGCAGAAGTGTGTACTCGAAGACCACTACATCTCGTCCTGCACAGTGTCTAGTAAACTCCCCATAACGAAAATTTATGACCTTTTTCCCGGAAGGGGGCCATTATTTTTGTATTACTAAGAAAGCTTACACATTGAATAAAATATCATTAATCTTTGGTTTGATGATAATTAGTTGT